GGACCTGAGGAGACCAGTTGTTGGAGGTTTTAGAGGACCTGAGGAGACCAGTTGTTGGTTTTGGAAAGAATGCTGTTCCATTCTGGTCTGATGAAGGGTTCTTGATGTTCAACAGTCCTGGATCGTCTTTGTTAAATGTTTAGTCTTATGATGCTCCAAACGTTTCAGCCCAGCACTTGGACCCTTCTGCTTCGTGCTGCTGGAATGGATGCAGTTCGTTGTTTAGGTTTTTGTACTGTGAGCCGATAACAGTCTGGATGGTCCGTTCCTCTTCAGTATGACGACGTGGTTTCCAAAAAACATTTTAAAGTTTTGATCCGTCTGACCACAGAACAGTTTTCTACTTCGCCTCAGTCCATGTTTTTCTACCCATCCGCTCACCATGGACTCATGTTCGGGCCGCTGTTGTTACGCTGTTTTGCTTTGCACTATTAGTGTTTAGCGCGTATCTTATTGTAAATCTTAAACTCTTATATACCATTTCTTTTTATATTTTTACTATTGTTGGGTGTAACTGGGACCCTGTGTACATAATTTGATTCCACCTCATGCACCACATCTGGTGAGAACAACAATAAACTCGACTCGAACTTGAGCTGTTCTTTAGGTCAGAGGCTGCTTTTTTCATTCAACCTTCATTTCTACAGGTTAGTGTCATTGAGCCTCAGGGACTCATTCACGAGAGAGACATGATTTAACAAAGAGTGACGACAACTGTGGACCATCTTAAAAGAAGGCATACAAATTGAAAAATAATAAATGGAAGAAAATTATGTTAAAATACTAAAAACAGGAATATGTCTGTGGTTTTTTTTTTTTGCCAGGAACTTAGAAGCAACTTAGATGTTTCCAGGTCCTTGAAATTTCTTGATGATATTGTGAACTGTAGATGATGGGATATCCATTTATCTAAATTTTTATGAAATTATTCATTATTTTTAAACTGCTGAACCTCTGCCCATCTTTACTTCTGACAGGCTCCGCCTCTTTTTCTACCGTTTTCTTACTGACAGATATTCTGTCCATCATCTGTTGACAAATAACCTAATTCAACGCGTACCCCCACGAATGTTACATCAAAACGACCGGCTCGGCACCGTGATGTGTGCCGTTACTTTTATTGCTGTTTTCAGTTACCATGGCGACGTAGTTTATGAAAAAATACGCCATTTTCCCCCATTCAAAAAGCCTGACGGAACGCTTCACAGCCTCTAACCGCCACAGTGAGGTCACATGACCTGGAGTGGAAAACTCCCTGAAGAAAACTAACTTTTGGAGCCATTTTGGATCAAGATGGCTGCCACAGCTACCTCAAAAAACACAAAATTGACTATAACTCAGTCATTCTTTGAGCTATTGAACTGAAATTTGGTATGGTCGTAACTGAGAGAGAGCTGTTATACATTCCTGACGCAACTCAAAAATCCAAGATGGCCGCATTAGCTCAAAGGAAAAAATATGATAACTCAGAAATTTTAAAATACATTGAGCTGAAATTTGGTAGCCGAGAACAATTCCTAATAGAATGCAAATCAAAAATTCAGCCTGCCTTCTGAGTTAAACAGGACAAAACTATAAATCAGCGATTTTTAGAGATATTAAGTTGAAGTTTAGTATGTTGGCAGCTGAGAGCAATGCAATCCAAGATGGCCACCAAAGCTATATTTAAATCAATTTAACTCAGCCATTTTCACACATAGAGCTGAAATTTTATGAGGTGGTTGCTGAGCATGTTCCTCACCACGTACTGAATCCAAATTAAAAATCCAAGATGGCCACCATAGCTTAAAATAAAAAATGACTATAACTCCTTGATTTTTTTCCATATCGAGCTGAAATTTGGTGTAGTGATCTCTGAGAGTGAACCCCGTCAAGTCAAACATTAAAAAATGGCCGCAGCGTGGCAGTGCCCGTTAAAGTTTCTCCGGGAACTTTCTAGTTGGACATTTACAAACACAACTAACGTTTGTAGTGTTCAGAATGTAAAATCATGATAGTCATGTTTTATGACAACGATCAAAGCTAAAAGTTATTAATTGAAATAGAAAGAATAAATAAAATGAGGCCAAAAGTAATTTGTTTGGTTTTTTGCACCGAGCGACACATTTTCCACATTTCTTCACAAAACAAACATCAGTTTAGTTTTGAAGTTGTACGGCGTGTTTGAATAGTTTTCTGGTGCACAGAAATGGTCCACACGGTGTGAGGCGGTTCTGACCACGATGCCCCAGTTTGAGTTTTGGGTCAGAACCTTCGTGGCTCTGTCTAACCTACATTTCTTTTCCGTCCACAGCTGTCAGTCAGAAAAGATGTATGAAGGTTTTCATGCAAACCTAAATATTTGATGCACTGGAGACAGTTCAGAACAAATGTAGATACACCAGTGTGTGTGTGTGTGTGTGTGTGTGTGTGTGTGTGTGTGAGCTTGTTTCTGTTACTTTGAGGACCATTTTGGAACACATACTAAAATGTGAGGACCAACTGCTCTTTGCGAGGACCAAAGTCCGGTCCCCATAAGGTTCAAGTGTCATTGGTGGATTAGGTTTATGGTTAGGGTTAGGGTTAGGCATGAAATGGCAATGGTTAGGGTTAGGTATGTACTATCAATGGTTAGGGTTAGGTATGTACTATCAATGGTTAGGGTTAGATATGTACTGGTTAGGTCTAGGGATAGAGTTAGGTAGGTACTGGTAATGGTTAGGTTTAGGGTTAGGTATAAACCGTAACAGTTAGGGTTAGGTATGCACTGGTAATGGTGAGGGTTAGGTATGGACCATAATGGTTAGGTTTAGGTATGTACTGGTAATGGTTAGTTTTAGGGTTAGGTGTGCACTGGTAATCGTTAGGTCTAGGGTTAGGGATGTACTGGCAATGGTTAGGGTTAGGCTTAGGTATGTACTGGTTAGGGCTAAGGTTAAGGTTAGGTATGTACTGGCAATGGTTAGGGTTAGATATGTACCGGTTAGGCCTAGGGTTAGGTATGTACTGGTAATGGTTAGGTTTAGGGTTAGGTATGAACCGTAACAGTTAGGGTTAGGTATGCACTGGTAATGGTGGGGGTTAGGTATGGACCGTAATGGTTAGGTTTAGGTATGTACTGGTAAAGGTTAGGTGTGCACTGGTAATGGTTAGGGTAAGGGTCAGGGTATAGAAATGAATGAAAGTCAATGCAAAGTCCAAGTAAAGATATCAAGACAAACCTGTGTGTGTGTGTTAGTAGTGTGTTTGTGTGTGTGTGTTAGTAGTGTGTTTGTGTTTTAGTCTCTTTTAGCACTCAACCCAACAGCTGCTGGTGTTGACACACGCTGATAAAAGTCACACATTTGGAATGACCGGCATCTCAAAGCCTCCAGAGCTTGTCAACGTTTGTGTTTGTCTGAACACAGACGGAGAACGGCGTGGTGCCTTCAAGTACCTCACGACAGGACAGAAAAACACACACAATTATTTTTATTTACATTAATTGTTGATTTATTTACCCTCGGAAGGTCTTGAGGGGAAAATTAGCCAAACATTTATTTATGTTTGTGTTTTTATTTATGAATTTATTTTGGTGTTGTCAATAAACTTGAGTTTCTTAGATATCCTAGAAATGCTTCTGATTTTTATTTTGTTTTATCTGAATTGTTTCAGGCAGCACAGTGACTCAGTTGTTTGAGCTGTTGCTTCTCAAGAAGGTCGACAGATCAAATCCTGGCCCAGGGACTTTCTGGGTGGACTTTGCATGTTCTCTCCATGCATGCGTGGGTTTTCTCCGGGTACTCCAGTTTCCTCCCACTGACCAAAAACATGCATGTTAGGCTGATGGTAACTCTGAATTGTCTCTAGGTGTCCCTGTGATGGACTGGAGACCTGTAAAGGGTGTAACCCGTCTCTCTCACAGTAATTGGACTGGACATGGGCACCTGCGACCCCCGCAACACAAAAAGGAAGAAGTGGGTAAAGATAATGGATGGATGGATAATCTTGGACCAAACCCAAGAGTGAAACATAAAACAAAGTTGAGGCTTTGCACACATGAAACAATCATTTTAAAGCTATCAGATTTATAACCCAATAACAACCAACCAACCTAAACAAACAAACAAAGTTCTGGTTGGCTGGTGTCGATTGGTTTCCAGGGTTCTGGTTGACTAGCTGAACAAACTTTATACCATAAGAACCAATCAGTGGCAGATTATGAATGGATGAACATGGACGGAGGGTAAGTTTGTCCATCTCTAAAGGAAAACAAGCCCAGAGCATGTTTGGTACAGAAATGAGAGAGCTACGATCCGTAGAGTCCAGAGCTGCTCAGACTGTAAAGTTCTGATCAACTTCTTTAGGTTTCAGTCATGGAGAACCACTGTGAGGCCTGGGCACCGTCTATCCCCTTCGCGCCGCTCCTGCGGCAAGAAAACTCTGCCGCAGACCGTCAAGAGGCATGTGTCGCTGACCCACGGGCTTCTGAAGGGCTGCAGGATCAAGGAAAGCCGCCGTAAATGGACCTTCTTTCATTTTCAAGCCCTAAATGTGAGGATTACTCACAGAGCAGGACTGTAGATGAGCTCTAATCTGAGACTTCAGTTCTATCCACTGGTTTATGAGATATTTTGCTAACAGACACATACACGTGTCTTTTAGTAATTATTGCTTTAGTGTGGTTTCTTTGCGCATGAAGATTTTTAATCAAACTATTACTGTTGTTTGTGTTAAAGACCACCAGATGGAGACAACACAAAAAACACAAAACTGGAAACAAAAACAAAAATCCAAACCATTTTAAAATCAATTTTATTTGATGTTGTCACGTCCCAAAGGCTGTCTGGATTCTAACCTCCAGGAAGGACATTAAACAGTCAAAGATGTTCCTAAAGAAAACAATAAAAATGTCCAATAATAATATTAGCCTTTTCTGTGAGTTTAAACACCGGGAGTTCTTTAAAGAGCGGTAAAAGTTTTACCTCTCAGCTCTGATGAGACTGAACAGACACCGTTAGGTTGAGTCAGAAATCGCTCCGGGAGGAGAACCTCTCCGAGATCAGGGAGGTATGTTTGTCATCTTAACAGAATTAAAAGATTTTTTTAGTATATGTCCGTCAACAAACTGCTATACAGCAATCTGTAGCGATGGACCGAACAAGTAAAGACCTTGTACAACCTTGATTTGTGACCTTGACCTTAGAGCTGGAGTGATGAAAAGTGTATGTGACATTTTGTCTTGTGATCTAGCATATGTGTATGAAGTTTTGTTAAATTATCTTGAGTGGATCAGAAGTATACATATACATATACAATACATATACGAGACTATACCATAATACCTTTACAGGACCATACCGTAATACATATACAGGACTATATCGTAATATGTATACGGGACCATACCGTTATACGTAAATGGGACTACGTATATAGGACTATACTGTAAAACATATAGAGGACTATACTGTAATACATATATGGGACTATACCATAATACCTATACAAGACTATACTGTAATACATATACGGGGCTATACCGTAATAAATATACAGGACTATACCATAATACGTATA